TATTACCATGTATAGATGTGAAAGCTGGACAGTGAAGAAAGATGACAGGAAGAAAATCAACTCAACTGAGATGTGGTGCTGGAGAAGAGTGCTGAGGATCCCATGGATAGCCAAAAGGACAAACAAGTGAGTCCTAGAGCAGAACAAACCGGAAACCTCCCTGGAAGCCAAGATGACCAAACTGAGGCTGTTGTACTTTGGACACATCATGAGAAGAGAGGACTCTTTGGAAAAAACAATAGTGCAGGGAAATGTGGGGGGAAGTAGGAAGAGAGGAAGGCCACATGTCAAATGGATGGACTCTATTAAGGAGGTCAGGGGTATGGAATTGCAGGACTTAAGCAGAACAGTGGAGGACAGAGGTTCTTGGAAATGGCTGATCCATTGGATTGCTGTGAATCAAGATTGACTCGAGGGCAGTTAACAACAACAAATAGCAAATCAAGCCTGCACTCTCCCTGGAAGCCAAGATTACTAAACTGACACTGTTGTACTTTGGACATATCATGAGAAGATATGACTCACTTGAAAAGCCAATAATGTTTGGGAAAATAGAAGGCAGTAGGAAAGAGGAAGATTGCATTGCAGATGTATAGACTTAATTGAGGAAGCCACAGACCTGAGTCTGCAGGACCTGAGGAGGGTGGTAGATGGCAGGGTGACTTGTAGGTTCATTTATAGGGTCATCATAAGTTGGCGTTGACATGATGGCAGTTGAAAACAACTACAGCAGACAAGGACATTACAATTGCCATCAATACTGTAAAAATAAACAAAAATAATAACTGCATTAGTTGTTGGAAATGGTTATGCATCCCACCTAGACTTAGATCTGTATCTCGCCAGCAGTATGCACAACCCTGGTTGAAAAAGGAGACTGTTTTTGGAAATCTGACCAATCTAGATGCAATTTAAAGATATTGGCTGGATTCCTGTTGGTTAATTCCAGTTAGACCCACTGAATCAATTGTTGAATGGTTAGTCAATACTTGGCTAAATCCCACTGATTTAATGAGTCTACTCTGGTCAGGAATATCAATAGGATTTAAGCCAATGAAAATTAAGAAAGGAAAACAGAAGCCTTGAATTAACCCATCTACATGCTTTGGACATCAGCCTGAGAAAGCATATGGCTCACATGGGCTGCTCCCATATAAGAGTTCTGTTTTCCAGTGGCCTGGTTTATTCACTGAATTTGGTGAGGGGTCCAGATATTGTTGTCTAATATTGGAACCATCCATCTGAAAATATCTCTGGTCACCATTTTGCCTCTTGTAGTTCTTGTAAAATTTATTCAGCATTTCTTGTTAAATTTTAATCATAATTTCTACATTTGCATCTAGATTTATAATAAGAGCATATACAAATATGATAAAATCTGTTTCTTCTTTTTGTTGTTGCTGCTGTTTGGTAATGCCTTTTCTTCTTGTTGTTGATCTGTAAGTGGCCACTCTGACCTCAAGCTAGTCTAAACATTTATTTGGGGTGAGATTTCATGTGCAAGTCTAACTACTGGATGCCAAGCAACAGCAGTGTGAAATTATACAGCTTCTTGCTGTTGGTATTACAGTGGGTGGCTAGGTGCTGCGTAAAGACAATAGATTTCTTAGGCTGATAAATAGAGAGACATGATTTATCGTTGAGGAAGTCATAAGCATAATGCGTGAATCAATGAGTGCCCACTGATGGTAATAGTATCATTTAATATTTACTGGAAAAGCATAACTCCATTATGAAGTCATTCCTTCCAACTGTCCCAATTTGACATGTCCCATTTTTTTTAAAATGTCCCACTTTCTCTCTCCTCTTCCTCTTTTCCCTTTTTGCCCTCAACTTACTTCAACTGCAGCAAACTGAGTACAAATTGCAAAATCTGCTTGTACTAATTTAACTCAGCAAAGGGGAGAGGAGAGGAGGGGTTGGAATCTTGCCCTTCCCAGTTAGCACAAGCAAAAGAAAACTGCTGCAGCCTCTTCTAGCTTGTGTGATCGTCTTTATTAAGAACTTTTGTCATCTTAACCAGACTCTGATGTTGCTTGGCCACATACGGTATATCCCAGTTCTCATCTGTAAAATGTTGGAAGGTATGCAAAGTGTTTTTTAAAAAGTCATTGGGTTAAATCCAATGTTACACTGGTGGAAGAAAACATTTCTCTCTTTTGTCTTTACACAGCTTTTTTGTCCATTCTCACAAATAATCCTGGGGGCTTCCATGCCCCCCATGGTCCTGGTGTCCATGCTGGCTGTGAGTTTCTGACATGTAACCTTTCCAAGCTCTCCAAGCAAGGACAGATAGACAAGATGCACCAGAGCTCGATGGTCCCTATTGCTCAAGAGAGGTTCCACTGGAACAACAAGTCCTTCCTGCCCAGACTTGCAATGATAGATTCTTCATAGAGAAATAGAGTCAGCTTGGAAGATTCTCCTCATGACTTACTACATGGGACAGTGGTTGGTGGCCTCTTCTTCATACACTCTAGTTTTGAGGGTTTCAGATATTGGTTTTCAAATACTTGCATTTAATGTCAAGAGGGTCATCATTAAGCAGTTTCAGCAACTTCAGCTAAATTAGGAGTGGAGAACATGGTCCTTGAGATTGTTGGAATACAATTGCCATCAAACCCTAACAGCATAGCCAATGGTGAGAGTTGGTGGAAAACGCAGTCTAACAACATATGTATATTCCCCAATATTGCACAGATGAAATTTGGAACACATGTGGCCAAGCAACATCAGAGTGTGGTCAAGGTCCTCCTTTTTCCTGACGACATTTTCCCATCCACAGGACACTAAAAATCCTGATCACCATAAATCAGCATTCAAGCAGAATTTAACTTTAGCACTGCAAAGCAAAACAGGATTGGTGTGGGGAAGGCAGTTACTAATGGACTGTGTATGTGTGTATAAAAAAAGCACTTTCAAGACAGACTGACAGGAGAATAACAGGAGAGCAACAACATCATGCAGTAAGGCACAATTATCCAGCCTTAGTATGATAAAGCTCCTGGTCTCCAGATTCTCAGTCCATCATCCAAACCACTACACACCATACTGGTTATCTTAGGGATAGGTCCCAGTACCACATACACAAAAAATATTTGCTTAGGCAAGTATTTTATTCAAAACAAAACGCACATATGAAATAACTATGTCAGATAAGTAAAGCATAAACAAACAAAAACATTTTGAATCTTCTTAAGACCATAGAATCATAGAGTTGGAAGAGACCACAAGAGCCATCCAGTCTAATCCCCTGCCATGCAGGAATACCCAATTAAAGGACCTCTGACAAATGGCCATCCAGCCTCTGTTTAAAAATCTCCAAAGAAGGAGACT